GGGTGGCCTCTGGCAAGCAAGCCTCTGAACGCCCCAAAGACAAGGCACCCCTAACGTGACCACTGCGAGAAACAAAGCCGCGATTAAACCAGCACACGCCCCCCACAAACCCAGGTCCCCCGCATGGCTGACTGCCCAACAGGTTACTATAGTAGGTCAGGGCGCCTTCTTTTCTTCTCGAACCCTCCAAACCAGCTTAACCACACAGCCTCCCTTGCCAGCCCTCGCCCTCTACACCAAAGGCTACCACGCGAAGGCCTGTACAATTCTGGCCGCTTCAACAGGAACATATAGGTCAAAGTTGACCTTGCACATTAATCTGAAGAATGCCCCATTTTTCTAACAAACTACCTTTCCTGGGTATTCACCACTGGGCAACTAAGTGTGGGGAAAAAAACACATGACATAGTCCACCCTCACTGTGCTTAGGGTTTTGTTCGGCCCTCTTCAGGCAGAAAATGAGGGATTCCTAAGTATCACGGCAAGACTAGAGGAGACGCGGAAGACTTTCGGATAAAACTGACACGAAGACACGGGATGCTTGGGGCTAAGGTGAGAGCACTCTGTAAGTTTTCGGCACTGCGTGCCATGATGCTGTCTAAACAGCATTACTTGGTTTAACCCTCACAATAGCACTAAGACGTGTCGATTGTCACCCCCATTTTGTAGAGAAAATTGACCAAGGTCACGATCACTAGGAAGTGGTGGATGGGGGCTCACAGAAGGCAGCTGAGTCCAGAGCAGGGGTCCTCAAACTTTTTAAACAGGGGGCCAGTTCACTGTCCCTCAGACCGTTGGAGGGCCGGACTATAGTTTAAAAAAAACCTATGAACAAATTCCTATGCACACTGCACATAGCTTATTTTGAAGTAAAAAAAAAAACGGGAACAAATACAATATTTGTATTTGCATGTGGCCCGCGGGCCGTAGTTTGAGGACCCCTGGTCCAGAGCATGTGGCTCCATCCCTGTCTACTGCTTCTAAACGCTGCAGAAGTGAAGTTGTTCCCATCAAAACAAGGCACCTCAGAAATGAACATGGCGAGTGTGTGGAATAAACGGAGAAATACAATTTGCTAAGCCAGAATTTGTGTAAAATGACAAAATTGGTAACAAAACCCAGTAGAAGCTGAAACTTAGGTCCATTACTATCCAATTTTATAGTTGTTCTCTTATGGGGTGGAGAGTGTGTTGTTGCTGAATGTTGAATACAGTCAGCAACTTTAAAGGTTGCTTAGTTACTTTGAATTTTAGCAATAAGATAAAAGTTCTGGCCCTGGCGGGGTAGCTCAGCTGGTTAGGAGTCATCCCAATACACCAAGGTTGGGGTTCAATACCCAGTCAGGGCACAGACGAGAATCAACAGTGAGCGCGTGCACGGGCAGAGCAACAAATCAATGTTTCCCTCGCTCCCCCTTCCTTTCTCTAACATCAATCTTTTTTTAAAAAAGGATTAAACCTCTGAATGTAGTTTCATAAGACCATTTGTTACATTAACTTATTTCCAGATAGAGTTCCATAGAGTAACTATGATAAAGGGACATGACACATGTAACAGACTGGCAAACAGGTCAGCAAAATCAGACTCTGACTCAGTATTTGCTAGCAGTCAGTCCCAAGGGCGACTGTGTGAACCTAACAAGTTAAAACAAACTCGTCTACTTTAAAAGATGCTCCAACCGAGGCACCTGGCCAGGGCACAATTAAGTACTTTTAATCAGAGTGCAAAACTACTGATAATTAAAGCTTAAAAAAAACCACAAAACACCAAACCCTTTCTTAATGTTATTTTAGACAGAGAGGAAGGGAGAGGGAGAGACAGAAACATTGATGAGAGAGAAGCATCCATGGGCTGCCTCCCGCACGCCCCCCACTAGGGGTCAAGCCTGCAGCCCCGGCATGGGCCCCAACCCGGAATCAATCAGCAACCTGGACGCTCAACCAACTGGGCCAAACAGCCCAGGGCGTGAAGTAAAGTTTTAATTGCTAAAGAAAATATAAAGTAAATTATATTCATAAACAATCTTCAGTTTTCATCAATTACTATGTGCCAGAGACCGCACTAAACTCTACCTTTATTATATCATTTTACAAAAGTGAAACTAAAATCTTAAGTCGGTTGCCCAAGCTAATGATCCAAGCCTGGCCACTTAAATGGAAAAGGAATTTGAAAAACAAAAAAACACACACAAAAGATTTCTTCATCTGTCTAAAATGATAGAGAGGACAAAAAGGGACATATGGAATACTTCCAACAATACAGATTTATTAAAATGATAGTTGTTACAATATCCTCAACCAAAAATGAGTTTTCTCAAGGTTTTTGACAACAGGATTGCGGCTCCCAAAGGAAGCAAGGGCCAGCCCATGCTTCCCGGAGCTGTGCTCTGCGGGACCCCTGAAGCTGCAGGACAGTGACCTCAGAGCCAATGGCTACACTCAGGGCCAGCACCAATGCGCTTCCCCATGTCAGGAATGGGGGACACTTCAAACATCTTCATCTTCTGAAAACCAACCAGAGGCAGGTGACATTACCTGACTTTACAAACTAAGAAAATGAAGATTCAGAAATCTCAAGATTACCCAGCTAACCCGTGACTAACCTGGCCTGGAAACTGTATCGAATCCAAAATAACATTTTGTCAACCTAAGAAACATTCAAACAGTGTAGAGAATTGTCGTGCGTTTACTTGAGCCTGACAACTGCCAGGAGGCGAAATCTCAAGGGATTGAGAAAATGCTCCAGAAAATGGCAGCTTTGCATCTTATTTTCTACATTTCGATCAAAAGAGAAGACATAAGTGGGTTACATGAAATCCACTGGTGATAGATGAGGGAGGCGGGAGAAAGCAAAGAGGGAAACCTCTGGGATTGGATAAAAAATAAAATGATTGACACCTGTACTTCTTTTAGTCAGGTGAATACAGGTTAGGTAACAGTCAACAATTAACGAAATAAACAAGGGGATTTGGGTCTCCGCAGAGCAGTGCCTGTGCTTTGAGGGGCGAGAAAATGGGGAGATGACTTTGTTCTTGCAAAGGCCTGTTTGTCAGGTATGTTATCCTGGATGCAAAGAGATGACAGGCTAAGGTGGAGACTGACCTTTGTCGGGGGGAAATATTGCCATGAATGGCTTTAAAAAAAAAAATTATGGATTTCAGAGAGGAAGGGAGAGAGGGATAGAAACATCAATGATAAGAGAATCACTGATCCGCTGCCTCCTGCACACCCCCTCCTGGGGACTGAGCCCGCAACCCGGGCATGTGCCCTTGACCGGAATGGAACCTGGGACCCTTCAGTCCGCAGGCCAACGCTCTACCCCTAGGGCCGTGAACGGCTTTTTGTTAAAAAGCTTTCATTTCAGACCATCCTTTGTGGTTGGTTTAGGTCTGAGTTTGTAAGGCCACCACGCAGGCCTGCCTTGAGCTGGTCAGGTTTACCATGTGGCCGCTTTTCGTCCACCATTCTTTCCATTAGACGACCTAACCTTAAATTAAACAAATAACCTCCGAATCTCTGCCCTCCTTTAAAAATGCAGGAGTGGGAATCCGATGCCCTGGTTTAGGGGGGTGACATCAGCGCAGCCCCCCTCCCCCCCGTTCCCGCCCCCCATGCCACGGGCACCAGCCCCACGTGGCCACTGAGCACGTGAGATGCCTTAGCAGAGGCTTAGAGGAACTGCCCGAAGCAGGACAATCGCTGCTTTGTACTTTCCGGGCTGCAATCACGTCAACATCCCTTCTCACTTCAGCAAACGGCCCGAGCAACCTCGATAAGTTTCAAAAATATCCCTTATTCCCAACCAATCTGCTGCTCGTCTATTGTTGCAGAGGAGCGCGCCTCCGAAACGCAAAGACCGCAGCGGCCTGGGCGGCACCATTTCCCTCCCCTCCTCCTCCAAGATGTCGCAGGTCTGAAATAAGGCTGAGCCACCGGGAGGCGCAGCCCTTTGGACTCCCCTGCGGTTCCTGTCGCATCCACTCATATCCTGGAGGCACCAAGTGCAGCCACCAAGAGGGTTTAAGAATGCAACGACCCCGCCGCGCTGGGGTCGCGGACCTAGTCTCCTGCTGCAGAAATTCGTAAAATGTGAAAAATATGCACACCCGCTCGGGTGATGAGCATCGACCCGTGAACCAGGAGGTCGCGGTTGGATGCCCGGTTGCGGGCCCGATCGCCAGCGCGGGGCGTGCAGGAGGCAGCCGATGCACGGTTCTCTCTCATCACTGAGGTCTCTTTCTCTTTACCCCTCTCCCTTCCTCTCTGAGGTCCGTACAGCGTATTTTTAAAAAGAGAAACGCAAGCAACACGCACCCCCTAAACTATAACACAAACAGGAGTGCATGCATACGACCAATATGGGGGGAAACAAAATGGGAAAATCGCTCCCGTTTCACCAAAACGGAGGGGTCAGGCCGCTCGCAGGGCCAGGAACAGCCTGGGGGCGCGTGGCCCCCCTTCCGGGCCGCGGCGTGGGTCCCAGGCGCTCCCACCACGCGGCAGCTCGCCGCCCCGGCCCGCGAGGGGTCCCGGGAGGGTGGCGAGGCGGGGGAGGAAGCGGGGGAAGAGACGGGAGGCGGCAGGACCGCGCGGGGGACCCACTCACGTTCTCGCAGCCGGTTCTTGAAGTTGGGGTCACTCCGTCTCTTGCGGTCAAAGTAAATGCAGTAGCCGATGAAGAGGGCCCCGCACACGCCGGCGGCGATGGCGCTGTTCCGGCCCACCATCTTTCCTCGACCGCGGGGAGAGGTCGGCGGCCGAGGGGGCCCGGGATGAAGCCGTTTGCCACGAACCCTCCGAGCGGACGGCGCCGCTCAAACTGACGCCCGCCGCGAGGGGACGGGAAAGGCCGAGCGCGCCATTTCCGGCGCCGTCACCAGAGGTCCACGGGCTGCCCGCGGCGGTGCCTGAGAAGAAACCCCTAGGCTGCCCGCGGCGGTGCCTGAGCAGAAGCGCCTGAACAGAAATCCCAGGGCTGTCCGCGGCAGTGCCTGAGCGGAGGCGCCCGTGCCGCTCCTGCGCCTGCGCAGGGGGCTTAGGCGGCGATCCCGGGCACCGGGCGCGGCGTGCGCGTTAGTGTCCACGGCGTACGAGGACCACCCACTTCCGGGAAAGCTGCCGAGCCTGACGCCCCGAGGTCGCGCGTGACCGCCGCGCACGTACACACGACGGTGGCTGACAGCCTGGCTGTGCCCGACGGAGATGGGAGGTTGCCGCCGGCAAAGGCTTCCCTTTATTCTCGTGTGATGCAGGCAGCCCGTGACTCGTTTCAAGTTCAGCCACAGCCCCTTGTGCACCGAGCGCCGCGAGCTAGATCCCATGTCAGAGCCATGCTGCAATATGGTATCGTGCGTGGGAGAAACCCAAATGGAGCAATGGCTGGAGCAAGGTAACTGGCAAAAGATACGGAAGGAAAAAATATAGGAAACGTGAGTTGTTTTACGGCCACAGAAAACGTCCTATATGTGGGGTAACATTTAAGACAAAACTTTGGGCATAAAGACACGAAACAGAGGGCGTGGTGAGGTGGTTGGCCTCTGCCAGGCGCCAGGGACAGGCAGGTCGCTATCGGAACCCGCAGAAGCCTTCTTTTCTTCCATCTGGCCCTTTAGTTCAACTTTTTTTTTCCTTTGACTCAAACTGGCCTCACCTAGTGCCCTGCTTCTACCCCCTCCGTCTCCCTTGCTTCATCATTGCGCCCTCAGGACAGCAAGGTCCAACAGACTTAGGAACAAGGTCCCGGGTCTATTGAGACAGACATTTCTCTTAGAGAGGAAACATCGATTTGTGTCCCACTTGTTTATGCATTCATTGGCTTACTGTATGTGCCCTGACTGGGGATCGAACCCACAACCTGTTGTAGGTGGATGATGCTCTAACCAGCTGAGCTCCTCAGCCAGGGCCTACAGTTTTCAATAAAACTAACCCATGGTAACTAACCTGCCTGCATCTTACAAGAAACGCTCCAAAGGCGCTATGACAATGCAAATAAACTGGAAGTTTCCATGTTCACATTCACCACCCCAATAAATACTGAACTCAATACATAGTTTCACCATTTTTATTACCAGTGCTCAGTGGAAAAAGGAAAGCTTCGAGTTGCTATTTCTGTTTTTTCTGTTTCTTAGTTTGTCCACTTTTCTTCTGTCCTTTCTTTTTCTTCTTGACGAGAACAGCTTTTTCTCCAATAAATAAACTTTTAGAATGTCCTACATTTTTGGAAGCAAAATTAAGTCCCTTCTTCCGTTTACTGACATTCTTCAAACTGGGATTTGAATTTTGTTTTAATTTGTCTTTATTAACAGAACGCATGACTCTGAGTTTTCTCCCCATCAGTTCAGAATTATTTAATTTCAGAGCAAGATGAACAGCATCTGTATTCTGCAATACAAATCAATATATTAATTTCAACCAGAAACTCATCTGCAAAGAAACTAGTCAAATCGCAACTTGAATGGATTAGAGCAGCTTGCACATGGCAAACCCTCCCATTTCCATGTCCAGGAGTCCAGCCCGTGTCGCAGCTCCTGGGCTGTGGTCTCCGTTGAATCATGCTCTGCACACGTTTCCCCAGGAGGCACTCAGCTGCCTTGTCAGGTTATCAGATAAGTCACAACCCAACAGGTGCCCTTTTCTCACTGTCTAATGAACTTGCACCTGGCAGCGAGCTAGACAGTCACATGGAACCTTTTACAACCCAATGAACCTCAAGGCTCTTCTGCAAAAGCCCCGAGGTAACAGTTGACGCTGTCATGGTGCCTGAGCTGCTGGACAAGATGCCTCATAGGGTTCCATTCAGATCCCAAATCCTGTTAATCTTTTATTCTAATAGAGAATAAACCCTGACTATACACCAGATGTGTCTTACAGAACCTGAGGAATTTATCAAGACATAGAAGAAAGACCGAGAGCAGAGAAACAGTAAAATAACCACAATACAGGACTGATGGGATCGGAAGGCTGTGACCACCTTTCTTAAAGCTATCTGGAAATATATGTCAAGAGTCTTAAAACTGGTCACAGAACTTGACCTCATTAGTAATAGCCCATTGGAATCTGTATTTTTTAATTTAATTTAATTTTTTTAATTCAGGAATTTGAGGGCAACAGTGACAGTTATGTCTGAGCGATGAAACGCAGTGACAAGCCCTCCCAGTGCATTTCAAAGGCACAGTGACAGTGCAGTGGCCTCCATACCTCGAAGAGCACGTAGCCGAAGCCTCTGCCGACACCGGTCAGCGGGTCTCTCACGATCCTCACGGCCACGATGTTCCCACAGTCCAGAAAGTGGTCCTCCACCACAGTGTCTTCAATTTCTGAAAACAAATTCAGCCGAAGTGGAGCGAAGCCTGGGGATCGCTTTAGGGGGCTGGAGAGGTGTCATACCAGCCCCGTGAAAATTAGTGAAGTTACATTCCTGCCTTTTTAAAGTTACTCTTAACGCACAGACAGGTACTGCTCAGTGGTTATTTCCGTTCATTTAACAATAAACAGGTACTTTGCTTATACAAACTTACTGTACGGGAGATTCCCCACAAACACCGATCGCTTGTCCCTCTGAAACACAAAGACACAGAGTCACTCACCGGAACGTAATGTGGGGTCACCCTAGAGCCCAGCCTTTCCCTCCCCCCACACACGCCACAGGTGCCCGTCTCCCGTGTTCACACCAGTCCCTTGTTGGAGTCTGACTCTTCCACCTTCCCCGCAGGAACAGGAGGGAAACTGCAGGAGGGAGTGGCCTTTTGTTCACGGGGAACATGACTGGCCCCTGGCCATGCTCGAGAAAGGCTATGTGCTGTGCTGGGGGTCAGGGCCAGACGGCACATATTCCAGGCTCTGTGGGCCCCATGGTCTCTGTTATAACTACTCCCTTCTGCCACTATAGCGCAGTAATACCAAACCTAATGGGGTGGTTGTATACTAATAAAACTTTATTGAAAAGAGCAGCCAGCAGGTGGATCAGGCCAGTTTGCTGACCCTGTGCTAGGTCCACCGTCACAGCCACGCATGTCAACCAGACCTCTGTCACTTCTTAACTAGGTCACTCTGACACCACCAGCAATTAATCTATGCTTCTGTGGTGAGCTCTTACTCATTCGTTTCAAGAGACTTTAAATATATGTATTTATTGATTTCAGAGAGGAAGGGAGAGGGAGAGAGCGATAGAAACATCAATGATGAGAATCACTGATCAGCTGCCTCCTGCACATCCCTACTAGGGATCGAGCCCGCAACCCAGCATGTGCCCTGATCAGGAATCGAACTGTAACCTTTATACTGGGAACTCCTGGAGAATTGAGACTATCTTAGCACAGTACACCTACCACAGAGAAACGGAAACTATTGAATGAATAATTTAACTTCCTAGCCCACCATCTATGAAATAAGACGTTTGCCTGGATTATCTCTTACACACCTTCGAGCCTAACTCTCCACGATGATTTGAACCAGATGGAGGGAGTGGGGCCACGTTCCTGAAGCTGATGTGACTTCATTCCTGTGTCATCCAGGGACCAGTGCTGTGACCAGAGGGCAGAGGCTGTACCCTCTGTGCCCCCCTCAGACTGCTGAGCCCACCCCTCTCCAAGACTCTAAGTTCTTTAAAGAACTCGCAGATACTCACAGATGAGGTCTCGGATGCGAGGTCAACTCTAACGCGGAATCCATCGGCGATTTGGGTCCCATTTCTGCTTTAGACATACGAAGGGGAAAGGGCTCTTAAAAAGTAGCACTGAGTTACTGTACCATTTGCTTTAAAGTGAAACCAAAGAATTAGAAATACTCATAGCTACTTGAATAATTCTGTGAGACCTCAGAGAGATAAAATTACCTGTTCAATGCTTTAGTAGCCGCGCTCTCATCCTTAAATACGACATACGCATTAATATTTTTCTGATCAGGATGAATTTTACGTCTACAAAAAAAAAAAAAGACAATGTAAAATTGTTAATCTCAAAGACACCAAAAGAAATAGCTTGTTTTCTACGTTCAATCTATACAGACGACAAGAATTCCTGGAGGAAGTTTCATCTCTTTCAATAAATACTTAATAACAACAAAATTAACACACCACCTGCTAGTACACAGACACTGGCTGAAACACATCACCCAAGCCTTCCTATTGGTTCTCACCGAGGCTCCTTTTCTAGTAGGTTATTTCACAATACTTCCCATGACTATACAGTCTACCTTGAGGCTTAAAGACAAACATTTGACAAATTTATATGCTATTTACAGGCAAAAGGGACCAGTAAAGCATGATGTTTTCTCCAAGTGTAAAAATCTATGAATCTGGGAGATGGTCTCAATTTAACCAAAATGGAAACGAATATAAGGCTACTCCGTTTCTCTAATTATAAACTTACTTTATTGCAGCCAACTTTTTGGACATAGTTCCCTCTGCTGGAATCTTTTAAAAAGAAAAAAAAAGTAAAGAAAATTCATTATTTGAAATATTACTTTAATTATAATACGTTCTAAATATCTGATTAAAAACATTCTATGGCGCCTTGGCCAGCAGAGTTCAGTGGTTAGAGCATTTCATGCTCCTAGAAACACGACTATACCTGGTCTACAGAGTGAAGTCAGATACCATGTACTCGTATAAATTAACTTTAAAAAAATACTTCACCTTTCTATGTTCAGAACATAAATACTGTATGAAGCAGCCACACAAACCCCCCAGATTGAAAGCCTACAATCCCAGAAACGCTATTCAGTAAGTATTAATATTTCTGCTTACTCAACAGACAGCAAACAAGTCACCCATCTACCCTCCAAAATGCAGTGCTGGCCTTAGCAGTAAGGATATCATTTTACTGTGTGAACTCGCTAAGTTATTTAACAAAGACAAGAGTCAGCAATTGGTACGAAAAACAACTTTTCTCTTGGACAGAACATTTGAACTCTTGATTCAGGTGTTAGGTTTAAAGTCAAGTGCTCATCCACCTCACTAATGCTGCCATGGTAACAGGTCTGATTTCAATGCACTGTGTCTCCCAATTATGCAATTATTAAGCGGGAAGAAAACATACCACAGAGCGAAATCGCACGGATTCTATTGGCCCATACTCTTTAAAAAATGACTTCAGCTTCTGAAATAAAAAAGCATGTATTTAGTTCACTTCCAGAGCAACAAATAAGTGGCTACAAAAAGGAATTTCTTTTTAATATATTTTACTGATTTTTTACAGAGAGGAGGAGAGAGGGACAGAGAGTTAGAAACATCGATGAGAGAGAAACATCAATCAGCTGCCTCCCGCACATCTCCCACTGGGGATGTGCCCGCAACCCAGGTACATGCCCTTGACCGGAATCGAACCTGGGACCCTTCAGTCCACAGGCCGATGCTCTATCCACTGAGCCAAACCGGTCAGGGCTACAAAAAGGAATTAAGTAAAACTGTCTGACAATCATTTACTGCCAGGTTTTATTTCAAGAACATTTCAGAAAAGTAGGTGACTATTCAAGTTGAAAGACAAACACATTTTACTGAAACATAGGGAAAAAATAAGTTAGTATCTCTAAGGTACATAACACTTTTGTCTTTCAATCTTTGATAATCTTTACCACATGTAAACTAAGAGAATCAATTCCATAGATTCTCTCATCTTTTCACACTGATGAACTTTAATGCTATCTCACCATGAGAAACTCCCCGGCTGTCTGGAATTAGGACCATGGATGGAAGACAAGTCTGGTGGGAATTTTATACATTCTTCTTATGTCTGGCTCGAGATGTGAAGAATGTATGTTTTACAGCTAGAATTATAATCAATTCTGACTCATAAACAATGTATTAAACATGTAACACATCACACACGCTCCCTTCCCTGGGGCCTCTATTAATCTAACAGAAAAATCAGTAACCAAAACTATGCCACAAATGTGTTCTGTCCTACAAAATAATCACAAATAAAACGCTAGGAGACATCAGTGTAAGGGGGAGAGGAAAAAACAGGAAGCCAGTTTTTTGTACTGTTTGTTTTTAAAGTGGAATTTAAGGTGTCCTTTAAAAGATGGGCAGGCCCGGCTGGCGTGGCTCAGTGGCTGAGCAGTGACCTAGGAACCAGGAGGTCACAGTTCCATTCCCGGTCAGGGCACATGCCCGGTTGTGAGCTCGATCCGTGTGCAGGAGGCAGCCGATCATTGATTCTCTCTCATCATTGATGTTTCTCTCCCCCCCCCCCACCTCACTTAAATCAATAAAAATATATTAAATAGAAAAACAAAATGAGCAGGATTTTGACCCAAGAGACTGCCCAACGGTGTGCCTGTGACAGGAACACTAAAGGAAGGGCATGCTCCGGTTTAGTGAACCGGACATAACGGAGGACCTAGGATGCATTCATTCCGTGACACGGTAAACGGCTATGGCGCCTCTAATACGTGCAAGGCACTGTGTCAAGTGCCAGGGAGAGCGCGGTGAAGGAAAGAAACAGTCACCCCTGCACTCTAGCACTGACAGGAGAGAAGGCTGGGTCCCTGCAATCGTTCAGATAAGATTTACAAAAGCCTGAATTGGCCAGAGACTATGGCAGCGGTTCTCAACCTGTGGGTCGCGACCCCTTTGGTGGTCGAACGACCCTTTCACAGGGGTCGCCTAAGACCATCCTGCATCTCAGGTATTTACATGACGATTCATCACAGTAGCAACATGACAGTGATGAAGTAGCCACGAAAATAATGTTATGGTTGGGTCACCACATGAGGAACTGAATTTAAAGGGCCAGAAGGTTGAGAACCACTGGACTATGGGAACAGAAAGGAGGGGTGGATACTGGAAGCAATCGACAGAATGACTTATGTAGTCATGTATGATGGAGTCAGAAACCCATGACGTCTTGTTGTGTGCTCACTCCACAGAGGAGCATTACACACAGTTATAAATTATTCCCCTGAGTCCGTACCACCTACAGACCGCACACTCACCTTCTTATTGCATGTGACAGGCAGATTCCCCACAAACACAGTCCTCTCGTTCTTTAACCTCTCTTCTTCTGGGTTCATTTGCGTTTTCTTCCTTTGACTGACAGCTGTGTCATCTTCATCACCAAGTGTTTTTCTATCTGCTACTGGAACACCAGATTGAGAAATTTTCCTTTTCTGCCCTTGTTTCTGGTGAATTTCTTCTTCTAAATCAGCACTAGCTAGAGCATTCTCTCTTTTTAAGGCAAAAAAAGGAAGAAGAAATAATAGTCATGAGAGTCAGGTCTAGTATTTGACAAAGCACAGTGTTTAAAAATATTCCCCACCTATTTCTGACTTTCCTAAATTTAAACATACTATTCATAAACATATCTACATTTTAAAAGTAGCATTATCAAAAAGTGACCAGCATCTTTAGAAAATTCAACAGTCAGAAAAAGCACCATTTTTGAAGATATGTTAGGACTGCCAGGTAACAGCAGGAACAGAAGTTCATGTAAACAAAAGTGGGTTCATTTAAAGCCCTTGGAGATTTCACTGACCCTTTCCCAATGCCCAACCCCATTATCTGCCCTGGAACT